CCCTAGTTCATGAACCCGGGCGAAGAGCTACTTGAGGGGTATGAAAAACAGCTGCTATCCAGTTCCCCAGCCAAGGACAGACTCTTTTCTCCTTAAGCTGTTGTAAGCATCTTCTAAATCAAGTGCTGCTACCACCGTTTTCTGTCTGTTCTGGAAACCTTCGAAAACGTCATGTATTGGGAATTTGTATTGTAGGGCATAAAGTCAGTACTTTAGATTTCATTTCTTCCTTTAGCATGTAGGAGCGTTTGAAATTTGCACTCAAGTATTTCCATTGTTTCGTTATTGTGATGTTTATTTTATATATTTGTAAATGGCCTCAGTTTGTATCATTTCCCTCTCTTGTTATTGTATTCTGTTTTATTATGTGTACGCCTTGCGTGGTGGGGGGATGGGAGAGTGACATTGTGTTTCCGATGGCCCTGAGAGCTAAGCTTGTGGTAACTGCTCCCACGTGCGACAGATCAAAGGGGAGAGAACGGAGAAATGGAAACAACCTGGTCTTCCAGGTTAAGTGTTGAAGCGTAAGGCAGACCTGAATGAACTACATTTGCAGATTTCATTTCATCAGGAAATATATTTAAGCCCCTAACTAAGGGCGGACTGAAACAGGCTACGACCCATGAACATTGAAAGACTGTAAAATATGAAGCATGGAAACTTTTATAGAGATTCAGTAGCCGAAGTACTTACCCGCGTGCATATGTCACATTTGTTTATGTATAAGTACGCGTATGCGTGTGTGCGTGCTCGTGCAACACAGAAAAGTATTCTGTGTTACTACTAAATATTTTGTAAATTAAATCCTGAAATGTGCAATATGAGAAGATGAATACCTGACAGCAGAGCATTCTTTTCGATTTCAAAGGGCATTTCTGGGACATACCCTGCCAAAAAAAAAAAAAAAGACTTTATATTGCAGATGTTAACACCCAGATAGTCTTCTTCAAGTAGCTTGTCTACAAACATGGGTGTTCATTTCTTAAGCAAGTTTCGCTCATGAAACATTGAGTTATCCAAGGGAAGTTTCTGCGCCTGTCAAATCAATTTCCGGCTTGTATACCGACTGGAGGTAGGTATGTTTACAACAATTGGTGTCTGAAGATATCTGTGTCCGCTTTCCTTGATCATGACGGCAAGACACAATATCAAGTCTTACCGGAAAAAAGAACTTCTCTGAAGAAACTCATTGTGCTAAAACCCCAATGGCAGCTAGAAATTGCTAAGAATTGACTGAAATCCGCTGTTGTGGACGAACTGTTTTTGAAAGAAAACTGTCACAATCTGCAACAGTGCTGTGCTGAAAGGCAGAACTATTTATGCAACGCTAATTTGCTTGCTACATGTAGTTTTATGGTCTCTGAGCCACCTGTTTTCAGTGTTGTATGTTCGTGTTTCTTGGGACAGTTTTTTCAAACACATCTGTTTGGATAATGTGAGATGGATGTTTTCAACAGAATGTCACTTCTGTCTGCGTACCAATCCATCTTTCTGACTGCGTACCAATCAATCTTGTCAGAGTCAAGGTTATCTGATAAGCATCTGCTTCTCGTTGTGACATTATCTATGATTCGTATCTCTAACAAGGACATAGCCTCCACCACTATCGCTGGAGGCGCTTTGTTTTCTTTTTCTCTTCTTTTTTTCAGCATTCCCGGCCCCTGCGGTTCATAGCTACAGACATCACCCGCCTCCATACCTCTCAGTGAATCGACATTTTGACAATCTTCTTCTTTGTTCACCGGCTGTAAGCACCGGTGGAAAGTCCTGGTTGTTCGTCCATTTGGACTTTGTGCCAGGACCTGAGTTTTGCGTGTACATCCGTTATACTTGATTATTTGTGTGCAGTTGGTTGTTCCTAGCCACTTCAGCAGATGCACTCTGACTTCGAAGGAAGCTCCTATTTAATCGATCCCTACGACGTGCTCGTTTCCCCCACAATGGGACCCCGGAAACCACCCGGAGAATTCTGACCATTATTTGTAACTTTTGCATATCGTCCCATCCAATGATGGGTTCTCAGCTACATCAATGGAATCATTCCAAGCATACACATTGTCATTGCCACTGATGTCATACATGGCTACATGGCTTGGCTCACAACTTCTACTCTTCTTCTTCTGCATAAACCCTTAAAAGAGTGGTTGGCATGTTGTGTTGTGGTTTACAGCTAGAATGTGATATTTGTATCTTCTGATCTGATACATCCTATTCCAGCAAATGCATTTGACAGTTGCTTTTTACAACGTGCTGGTTAAGGAGCTTTTGTTTTATTCTTTTTCTTCAATTCTGGGACTCAGAGCCCACAAGAAAAGTGTTGAGAGCCTGAGTAATAGTCCTAGATTTTCATGTTATGCTGATTTCAAATCAATGTTACAGCCGATTTCCAGATTACGGGGTCACTCTGTGTGCACGTACTACTCCTTCTTGTGCGTTCATCCGAAGATGTGATTGCGTTGTGCCCGTTCACATTATGGCTACGATATTTGGAACTCTCGGCCAACAGATCCGTCTTCTGCAGGCATTTATTGATCAGGTTAGCCGTACCAAGTGTGTACGTCGTGTGTGTATTGTCCTTTTTTTTTTTAAACAGAGAAGCGTCTCAAAGGTCAGGGGGTGCCAAGATTGTCCATAAAGGGCCAAGTGACCATTGGACGTGACCAGAAAGTGCACGTGTTACTCGCGTGGCAAATAACAGATCGCTTGCAAATGTGTCGGCGCCCTCATTACTGGAATTATCACTTCATTATTCGTTACAGATTGAACAAAGGTTGATGAAGAGGGTTTCTTTAAATTCTTACGAATAGATTTCCTGTATTTTCACCAGTTATGTTTCGAGCACAATCCGTGCGGACATTAGGTTCACCCAAGCCTACACACGGCTACTGTGATTAATTATTCTTGGACAAAAAAAGAGGGAAAAGGGGGGTGGGGGGGGGGGGTGCTAAGTAAGTGCCCACTCAAAGAAAACACATAAATAAATGCACAGGAAAGTCATTTCATGACTGTTTATTTGCTTGCACGTGAAAAAAGATATGTTCACGTTGTCTGCCCACTCTGTCAAACATACATTTCATGTGACGACCTCATGATGGCATGTACCTCTTTGTCTCTGATATGTTAGACCAAGATACTCAATACTGATACATTTATTTGATTTTGCAGTAAGTAGATTAATTGCAGTAGTTTTTTTTTTTTTTTTAATATTCACTTTAGCGAAAGAATACCTTGGACAGCCAAAAAGAGCAACCAAGAGGTTTTGAATGAGGCGGGAGCCCGAAGAAAACTTATCGCAGACATCAAAATAAGACAGTCATCATTTTTCGGCCATGTTATGAGAAGAGGGAAAATAGAACATGTTGTGACCACTGGAAAGATATGTGGTAGGAGAGATGGAGGAAGACAACTAGAGAAGATGCTTGACAGTCTTGTTGCATGGCATGGAGGTGTGTCGGCACACGAACTGATACATGATGTAGGAGATCGCAGATTATGGAGAGGCATGATTGCCCACGTCAGTCGGCAAGGCACCTGATGATGATGACAGCGAAAGACCTATTCTATATCAACGATGCACTTATGAAAGGCACATTCAGCTTATTTTTCTGGCAAAACGCATTACCGGTAAGCAGTGTATCCCAGGACCATCTACAATGACTGTCTGGTGGTTGTGCTTGTCATATTGTGTCGCCTGGTGCTGCCGTCGCTTGTTTAGTAGCAATTTAACGTCCACGGTTTACATTGTGGGAATATTCTAGAACATTTCAACAATGTATCTTCATCTGAATCTATGACTGGGAATTTCTGACATGATATAGCTGTAGTTTTTAGTATTATTGAGGGCAGGGGGGGGGGAGGGTTGGGGGGGGGGGGGTGTGGACAATACAGTTTAACTTGTAGAAAAAATATCATATTAACTTCAAAATGATGGAAGATTTGTCAACTTTATAATCGTTAATGAAATCGTCACATTACTGTTGAAACTAGAATCGTGAAAGAAGCAATAATAATAGCTGTAGCGTATTCTAAGGTGTCAGTGTTTTGTGAAGTACGACAAATATAAACACGAGACAGTCTGTTCTAAGTTGTCAGTGTTTTGTGAAGTATGACAAATATAAACACGAGACAGTCTGTTCTAAGGTGTCAGTGTTTTGTGAAGTACGACAAATATAAACACGAGACAGTCTGTTCTAAGGTGTCAGTGTTTTGTGAAGTACGACAAATATAAACACGAGACAGTCTGTTCTAAGGTGTCAGTGTTTTGTGAAGTACGACAAATATAAACACGAGACAGTCTGTTCTAAGGTGTCAGTGTTTTGTGAAGTACGACAAATATAAACACAAGACAGTCTGTTCTAAGGTGTCAGTGTTTTGTGAAGTACGACAAATATAAACACGAGACAGTCTGTTCTAAGGTGTCAGTGTTTTGTGAAGTACGACAAATATAAACACGAGACAGTCTGTTCTAAGGTGTCAGTGTTTTGTGAAGTACGACAAATATAAACACGAGACAGTCTGTTCTAAGGTGTCAGTGTTTTGTGAAGTACGACAAATATAAACACGAGACAGTCTGTTCTAAGGTGTCAGTGTTTTGTGAAGTACGACAAATATAAACACGAGACAGTCTGTTCTAAGGTGTCAGTGTTTTGTGAAGTATGACAAATATAAACACGAGACAGTCTGTTCTAAGGTGTCAGTGTTTTGTGAAGTACGACAAATATAAACACGAGACAGTCTGTTCTAAGGTGTCAGTGTTTTGTGAAGTATGACAAATATAAACACGAGACAGTCTGTTCTAAGGTGTCAGTGTTTTGTGAAGTACGACAAATATAAACACGAGACAGTCTGTTCTAAGGTGTCAGTGTTTTGTGAAGTATGACAAATATAAACACGAGACAGTCTGTTCTAAGAAGTTTGTAACAACATGCAGGGGGTACAGGTATGTCTGGTAGTGGACAGAAAGACATGTGATGTAAGGGCGACCACTGTCTAGTATTTACCTGTTTGGTACACTGACAGAACTTTGTCCCCTCCGCATGTCTGGTAACAGTTGCCCTTACACCTCATGTTGCATTCATCCTCCGGCACGTGGACAACTGTCAGTTCTGACTTGGCACAGAAACACATCGTTCCTTTCTGCCAGTATGTAATAATCAATAAGTTAATGCAGGGCCGTCTAAACGCATAGGCTCGCTGGGCACTTGCCCGGGCGCCCCACGAGCCTAGGAACCCCCATGTTAGTTTCTGTATGTCAAGTGACTTGCCGTCAATGAAAAATATACTTGACGTTTAAATTAATTATATTTAATATACAACCAAAATTATACTTCCCACTCTCTTTTTGACAAACGCACAAACGCACACACACACATGTGTTTGTGTGTGTGTGTGTGTGTGTGTGTGTGTGTGTGTGTGTGAGATTGCTCAGAGCAGGAATAGTAGCATAAAGTGTTGACACGAGTGGTTTATGTCATTCGCTTTCTTGCCTTCAGAAGGTTGTCATTTTGATGAGAAAATCAGATTATTAGGTCAGCACAAAATGGCAACTATTTCAGTATAGTAGAGCTGCTGGGCGAGATTAACTCTTTCTTGGAAGAGCATTCGAAAACGTATGGACATCCTGGAAAAGGGAATCTGTCACATTTGTCTGTCAAAATGTGTGAGAATTGATTGAACTGATGGAATATCGCTTCTTCATACTATACTTGAAGAAGTAAACGGGTAAAGTGTTATAACCTTCCAGACATCTCACATTCTTCGATCTGGCTTCGGACGCAACTGGTTGTCATATGGGCCTCAACATAATGATTTACCCAGGGCCCACAGAACTGTTAAGGCCACCCTGAGTTAATGATATCTTAGGAGCGTTTGGCCGAACGTTAAAAGCCAAGACTTTCATGCGTACGATCCAGGTTTTAATTCTGGGTATGGTATAGTTACGGTTTTTGGGAGACACGCCCAAAGAAATCCCAACCAAGACTGTCCAAGATGACTGTATCGGCTCTAAATATACAAGTTTAGGCAATCCTTGTTGTGGGTGTTTGTGCCTAGGACGCAAAAGGGTACTTTATTTTAACTGTAACCCCCGACCCTAACCCCTCATTTTTGGACTTTCCCGAGAACTCCGGGATTTCCTTTGTTTGGGGTGTATTAAAAATAAAGTATCCGTAAGAATGGTAAAAACAAAGTTTCATTGTAAAGTTTCCAATGATTAACCATGTTTTGCAATTCTGTTTAGCATTACAAGTGTATTAGTACATGTGTTCTTGCTGTCAATTCTGACTTGTATGAAAACAGATTACCAGAAGTCCAGCCACTTTGTTCCTAAGTAGCCAACATTGTTTGACGCACGAAGAAACATCTGCGGGAATTGGTTTCCCTGCTTGATTTGAAATGGTAGCTTTGTAGAAATCTCTAGTATTGTCAGTTCTTCCCATGCAGCCTACATACTTGACCTGGCGAGACACTAACAACATGTTACAGGTTAGGACGTGTTTGTAAAAATGGACACATGCTGTCTCAAAATGTCTGTTCTACTTACTTACTTTTACTTTACTTTTTCCTTCCACGTATGCCGCTAAGCGTTGTGGGAAGATGCAAGTTCCTGTCATAAGCAAGGCGGGCAGCATCTGATGTTCTGAGGCCATGCTTTTGGCAGGTTTCGGAGACCCCGTCAATCCACCGTTTCCTTGGTCTTCCTCTTGCCTTATATCCTGAGCTTCTTTGGTTGAAAATTTGTGATGTTATTTGATCATTTTTCATCCTGGTTAGATGTCCAAACCATTTCATTCTTTGATGTTCTATGTAGTCTAAACATGGCGTAGTTTTGACAGTGTTTCTAATGTCTATATTCTTTATCCTGTCTAGTCTGGTCTTATTCGCTGCTTTTCTTAGACATTTCATTTCACAGGCTTCTATTTTTCTTTCATGGATCTTGTTGATTGTCCATGTTTGGCACTGGTAGCAGAGTGTTGGAATGAAGATGGTGTTTATCAATTCTGTTCTACTAACTGTAGAAATTTCTGAAAATGTTATCTCTTGAAGGCGGCTTCCTATCAGCTTGTGTTTATTACAAGAGGTTTGGCTGTCCTCCGAGAAACTCATTGACTGCTCTACACATTGAATTATCTTCCATTAGGCGAGTGTTACCGGTAGTTAAATCACTTGTGCATTGTCCATCATCTCCTGAGATCACATGATTCTGGACAGAAGTCTCTTTGGAATATTTTGCCCAGCCAAGCGACGGTGCAGATGAATGAGCTGATAGCTCAGTGTTTCCCGAATTGGGCACATCTGATGGTCCAGGGGGCGCCGTTAGAAGGGCCCAGAAGAACAGCAGCAGCCTCAGCTACAGTCACGGGCACAGAATAACGATAAGGCGATACAGAAATAGTAGTCGAAGACAGGATAACAACATTCTGATTACCTGTTCGTACCTGTTTCAATGTTGTGCAGCAGACTACATTCGTAGTCATTTCTTCATTTTCTAAATAAAATACCAGTTATTATATATCAGGTTAATTTTCATACCTTTTTCATACTTTCCACACCACGTTGAAGGAGGGCCTTTCAGAACATTCTAAAAGCAGAAGTTACTCACAACATGTATATATAGATAAGAGACTTTATGTATGAACAATTGTCAGGAGTTGAATTAGACAGTCGATCAGTTAAACAGAGAGGAAGTCCCACAGGGCAACGTAATATCGTAGTCGGCTTTTTTTATTTCAAATAATTAGCATTACTAAATGTTGACACCAACAAGTATCCAACGGTCTACGTGTAAATGATTACTTTTTGTATAGCAATAGAAAACACCCTCAACAGTCTTACAGCTACTGCAACGGCCAGCTTAAAACAATAGTATAAAACTCAACATATAAATGGGGACCACTAAAGCAAACAATATATTCAGCAAGAGTATTCTCCCTCCCCATACAAAATAATAAATTAACATAGTTTTAGAAAAATCAACCAATGCTTCAGACACACCCACTCTCCTTGCAGTTATCTTCAGCACCAGACACACAGGGGAGCCAACCTTAAAGGTAAATAATCTATCCAAAACTCATTCAAATGACAGGAAAAAACACGAATGGCAGGAACATAATAGTTAGCCCTTTTTAAAAACCCGTTAAGACAAGTATACGCTGGAGCAGTCAGGCTTGTGGAATATGCCTCAAACTCCTTGGACAAAGTAGATAAACGAACTAGGGAAAGCTAATTTTGGTTCTAAATATTGCTTTAAGAATAATGCCCAGAGCAATGAGAAATAGCTCCATAATAGAATTTGAGAAAATTGTTAACATGTAGCATCTTGGACTTCGTAGAGGGTACAAAACTTTCGCTCAGTTTGAAAAAAGCCCCATAAATTTCAAGAGAAACACAAACCAGACTATTCAGAAAAAGTTCAAACCATTTAGCAAGAGAAGCTTACAGGCAACAGGCAAACATGTAAACTGAAACGATGATGTGTGAAGCTCTCACACCAGAACCACCTGTCCACACCTATCCAGTACAGTTCTGGGTGTCCTACAAATAATCTCCGAAAAGAACAAACTGAGTTAGATCAAATAACCTTGCCACTTTCAATGGCTAGGATTTAGTGTACCTCTCATTTTTGGACACGTGTGTTCACACATGGTTGTGCTTAAAAAAATGTTAAAAAGAGTCTACAATGTATCTTCTAATGGCAACACAGAGAAATAATTAACAGCGGCAAAGACGAAGTACGTCAGTTGTGCTGACTGTTGATAGTCCAGATCAGAAAAATTACCATATTCACACTCACCAACATGAGCCATCGCAAGGGGCCAAAACGTTGTTTAATTGCACAATAGTATCGTGTGTGTGTGTGTGTGTGTGTGAGAGAGAGAGAGAGAGAGAGAGAGAGAGAATGAGAGAGAGAGAGAGAAAGAGAGAGAAGGGAGGGATGCTCAAGGCGCGTGAGTCTCTAGGTTCTGACACCTATCTTCCAAGTATATTATTTTATTATTTGTCATATCAAATAGATATTATACTTTCTTGAAATATCATCATCATCAAGTGCCTTGCCGGCTGGTGTAGGCATTCATACATTTCCACAGATCTCGGTCTTTGGTGTTCTGGATCAATTCTACTGATGATTTCCTCAATGCCACTGTCTTAAAGCATTCTCCATCATTTCTCCTGGTCTCCATCTGCTTCTTCTACCAGTGATCTTTCTAGTCTTCACAATATTTTTCAGTACCCTTTTTCTCATCACATTACCAAGAACTTTGTTTGTCTCCTTCTCATTGTTTTTATAAAATGTTCTACTTTCGTTAACGATTTTTAGGCAATCATTGTTGGTTATTCTGGCAGTCCAAGGTATTCTCAACATTCTTCTCAAGAACTACATCTTAATTGCCTCCAAACTTTTTTTAAACTGTTTGCTCACATTCCAAGATTCACTGTCATACAACAGAACAGGCTCGATATAACATATCAGTACTCGTTTGCTAGTTTATATATATATCTTGGACCATTTAAAGAATATTTAATTTGCCTTATTGTCGCCTACAGTGTTAATGTCAACTGTATACAGTTATATTTCGTCCTGCTTGAAGTCAACGATCTTCAGAATAAATAATTGTATTAAGGGCTGAACTTCTGTTGAACGAACATTCACTCACAGACAGCAGTCAGTGTGCAAGAATCCAGTGACATGTGTGCAAGGTCGTACACTTTATTCAGTTTCAGCAACTTGTAGCTAGAAAACTAAATTACCGTGTCTCGGAATGCAGTATAATACTGCTAAAAGCTCTAGAAGTTAACCGCTGGCCAACACCGTAGAGAATGTTTGTTCTAAATGTTTCTTTCCATTCAGTTATATTTGGAACAGAGAAATAAAAAATAAAATAAAAATGGTTACAACAAACTTACAAGTGCACATTTACAAACACTGCTGTAGAACTGGGAGGCTTTACTGAGATGGTGAAACATGTACAAATGCAATCTGTGATTGGTGATTAACAGCAACCTTAGTTAAAAGCAATGTTAAAGTTGCTCAATTAACAGCAACATTAAAGTTGCTCAATTAACAGCAACGGCGGCGTCTGTGGCTTAGTAGTTGCGAGTCCGACTCATAATTCCAACGTACCGCGATTGAAACCCACAGCTGTCTGTGTGGATTGTTATCGTGGTATGGGGCGTCTCAGATCGACCCAGCCTGAAATGGGTACCATGATGTATGTCTTGTGGAAGTAAATACGGCCGGCGTTATGCTGACCACATTACCTATCTAGTGCCGAATGGTCTGTAAAAATATGGGTACGCTTCCCATATGCCCGATGCGCCTGAAAGGCGTGAAAAGGGATCTTTACTTTATTTTACTAACTAACACTTTATTTTACTTATTAACATAAACGTTAAAATTGCTGAGTTAACAGCAGTGTTACAGTTGCTCGCTTAACAGCATTTGGTTATTCTTTGCCGCTTGGACAGATGCACCATAACTGACATTTATAAGTGTATAGTTACATCCTTAGTTGTAGATTGCCATGTTGTCTATAACTTACATATAACTATAAGTGTATAGTTACATCCTTAGTTGTAGATTGCCATGTCGTCTATAACTTACATTTAACTATATGTGTATAGTTACATCCTTAGTTGTAGATTACCATGTCGTCTATAACTTACATATAACTATAGGTGTATAGTTACATCTTTAGTTGTAGATTGCCGCGTCGTCTATAACTTACATTTAAGTGTATGGTTACATCCTTAGTTGTCTATTGCCATGTCGTCTATAACTTACATATAAGTGTATAATTACATCCTTAGTTGTAGATTGCCGTGTCGTCTATAACTTACATATAACTAAAAGTGTATAGTTACCTTCATAGCTGTAGCCTGCCAGGGTAAGAGCTAGTAAATTAAAAAGTAACGAAGTTATGATCTCAAACATTTGGACAGACCATACGAATGTGGAACACAAAGAAATGTTGCCTTTCAGTCTGCGATGCTTGCAAATACGCACGTCAACCTGAAGTGAAAGTCACAACAGACTAAATGTAAATGTTTATATAATGTGGTCACATATCACATCTATAATGTGGCCACATATCACATCTATAATGTGGTCACATATCACATCTATAATGTGGCCACATATCACATCTATAATGTGGCCACATGTAACATCTATAATGTGGCCACGTATCACATCTATAATGTGGCCACGTATCACATCTATAATGTGGCAACATATCACATCTATAATGTGGCAACGTATCACATCTATAATGTGGCCACATGTAACACCTATAATGTGGTCACATATCACATCTATAATGTGGCCACATATCACATCTATAATGTGGTCACATATCACATCTATAATGTGGCCACATATCACATCTATAATGTGGCCACCTATCACATCTATAATGTGGACACGTATCACATCTATATTGTAGCCACATATCACATCTATAATGTGGTCCCATGTCACATCTATAATGTGGCCACATGTAACATCTATAATATGGCTACGTATCACATCTATAATGTGGCCACATATCACATCTATAATGTGGTCACATATCACATCTATAATGTGGTCACATGTCACATCTATAATGTGGTCACATATCACATCTATAATGTGGTCACATATCACATCTATAATGTGGTCACATATCACATCTATAATGTGGCCACATATCACATCTATAATGTGGCCACATATCACATCTATAATGTGGCCACATTTCACATTTATAATGTGGCCACATATCACATCTATAATGTGGTCACATATCACATCTATAATGTGGCCACATATCACATCTATAATGTGGCCAAATATCACATCTATAATGTGGCCACGTATCACATCTATATTGTAGCCACATATCACATCTATAATGTGGTCACATGTCACATCTATAATGTGGCCACATGTAACATCTATAATGTGGCCACGTATCACATCTATAATGTGGCCACATATCACATCTATAATGTGGTCACATATCACATCTATAATGTGGTCACATATCACATCTATAATGTGGTCACATATCACATCTATAATGTGGTCACATATCACATCTATAATGTGGTCACATATCACATCTATAATGTGGTCACATATCACATCTATAATGTGGTCACATATCACATCTATAATGTAGCCACATATCACATCTATAATGTGGCCACATGTCACACCTATAATGTGGCCACATATCACATCTATAATGTGGTCACATGTCACATCTATAATGTGGCCACATATCACATCTATAATGTGGCCACACGTCACATCTATAATGTGGCCACATATCACATCTATAATGTGGCCACGTATCACATCTATATTGTAGCCACATATCACATCTATAATGTGGCCAAATATCACATCTATAATGTGGCCACGTATCACATCTATATTGTAGCCACATATCACATCTATAATGTGGTCACATGTCACATCTATAATGTGGCCACATGTAACATCTATAATATGGCCACGTATCACATCTATAATGTGGCCACATATCACATCTATAATGTGGTCACATATCACATCTATAATGTGGTCACATATCACATCTATAATGTGGTCACATATCACATCTATAATGTGGTCACATATCACATCTATAATGTGGTCACATATCACATCTATAATGTGGTCACATATCACATCTATAATGTGGTCACATATCACATCTATAATGTATCCACATATCACATCTATAATGTGGCCACATGTCACATCTATAATGTGGCCACATATCACATCTATAATGTGGTCACATGTCACATCTATAATGTGGCCACATATCACATCTATAATGTGGCCACATGTCACATCTATAATGTGGCCACATATCACATCTATAATGTGGCCACGTATCACATCTATATTGTAGCCACATATCACATCTATAATGTGGTCACATGTCACATCTATAATGTGGCCTCATGTAACATCTATAATGTGGCCACATATCACATCTATAATGTGGTCACATATCACATCAATAATGTGGTCACATATCACATCTATAATGTGGTCACATATCACATCTATAATGTGGTCACATATCACATCTATAATGTAGCCACATATCACATCTATAATGTGGCCACATGTCACATCTATAATGTGGTCACATGTCACATCTATAATGTGGCCACATATCACATCTATAATGTGGCCACATGTCACATCTATAATGTGGCCACATATCACATCTATAATGTGGCCACGTATCACATCTATATTGTAGCCACATATCACATCTATAATGTGGTCACATGTCACATCTATAATGTGGCCTCATGTAACATCTATAATGTGGCCACATATCACATCTATAATGTGGTCACATATCACATCAATAATGTGGTCACATATCACATCTATAATGTGGTCACATATCACATCTATAATGTGGTCACATATCACATCTATAATGTGGTCACATGTCACTTCTATAATGTGGCCACGTATCACATCTATAATGTGGCCACATATCACATCTATAATGTGGCCACATGTCACATCTATAATGTGGCCACATATCACATCTATAATGTGGCCACATGTCACATCTATAATGTGGTCACATATCACATTTATAATGTGGCCACATATCACATCTATAATGTAGTCACATGTCACATCTATAATGTAGCCACATATCACATCTATAATGTGGCCACATATCACATCTATAATGTGGTCACATATCACATCTATAATGTGGCCACATATCACATCTATAATGTGGTCACATATCACATCTATAATGTAGCCACATATCACATCTATAATGTGGCCACATGTCACATCTATAATGTGGTCACAAATCACATCTATAATGTGGCCACATATCACATCTATAATGTGGCCACATATCACATCTATAATGTGGCCACATGTCACATCTATAATGTGGCCACATGTCACATCTATAATGTGGTCACATGTCACATCTATAATGTGGTCACAAGTCACATCTATAATGTGGCCACGTATCACATCTATAATGTGGCCACATATCACATCTATTATGTGGCCACATATAACATCTATAATGTGGCCACATATCACATCTATAATGTGGTCACATATCACATCTATAATGTGGCCACATGTCACATCTATAATGTGGTCACATATCACATCTATAATGTGGCCACATGTCACATCTATAATGTGGCCACATATCACATCTATAATGTGGCCACATATCACATATATAATGTGGCCACATGTCACATCTATAATGTGGCCACATGTCACATCTATAATGTGGCCACATGTCACATCTATAATGTGGTCACAAGTCACATCTATAATTTGGCCACGTATCCCATCTATAATGTGGCCACATATCACATCTATTATGTGGCCACATATAACATCTATAATGTGGCCACATATCACATCTATAATGTGGTCACATATCACATCTATAATGTGGCCACATGTCACATCTATAATGTGGTCACATATCACATCTATAATGTGGCCACATGTCACATCTATAATGTAGCCACGTATCACATCTATAATGTGGCCACATATCACATCTATAATGTGGCCACATGTCACATCTATAATTTTGTTTAAATAATTTTAAAGCCTTGCCTTCTACAGGCTACCAGAATATTCAAACGTAAATCACTTTTCCTGAAGTTCTAAAGTCTACTCTTAAGGACTGGAAAAACATCAAGTATGCGCAACCTTTGCAGAACTAGTGACACTAAACAAAGGACATTGCGACAATATTCCTACGTCTGAAAACCAAAAAAAAAAAAACACACACACACACACACCACACATAAATGAAACGATTATGAAATGACTTACTGTATTACGTTTGTCATTTCAGTATTATGTATGTTTTTACGGTGTTACGATATTACGTAGACAATTAAACAAAATAATAAAGATCAGAAGTATGTGATACTACTTTCCAGGGCCCCTCTAATATATTTGGGGGGAATGCTAACAATAATCTTCTTCTTTCCCTTCTTCTTTGTTTACCGACTGTAAGCTCCAGTGGAAAGTTCTGGTTGTTTGTCCATTTGGTTTTTGGCTTTGTGCCAGAGCCTGAGTTTTGCGTGTACATCTGTTTTACTGACTTATTTGTGTGCAGTTGTTTGTTCTTTGAAACTCGGGCAGATGCACTCCGGCTTCAAAGGAAGTCCCCAGTTGGAGGCAACTCCTACGACATGCTTGGTGGAAAGGCAGTGGGTCTAGTCTTGTTTTCCCCACAAATGGGACCGGAACCCACACTGGAAGCTAACAATAATGAGGTCAGTAGGCCAAATCAAGTTTGACTGGTTTGAAGTACCTGCTTGGTTATATTTCTTCTTTGCGGTTTTGTATTTGATATTTCTTGCGGCGTAACTGTATGCCTGGTTCATCCTTCTGTTTGCAGTTGTCTTTCAGTCTTAGTATTTTTGGGGAACCTTGAGTCTTTGCTGCTTCTTGGGGGTGGCCAGGTAGCCCTGAAAAGAGCCACTATGTTTCCCCTGTTTCCTGATTTCTTGAGATTCTTGTGTTGTCCTGCCTTTCTGTAATTCTTTGGATGTAGGCTGGGTCTGCTTGCCTTCTGCGATATCGTGCTGCCTGAGCCGTCGGGCATTGCTCCTCCACACACATCTTCTAAATTTAAGCTTGTGTGTATGTGGGGGTTTTTCCGTGTGCATATTGGTTGCCCCCCCCCCTCCCCCGCTCTCCGTCCCATATGATACAGAAGTAGATGTATTAACACAGGTTGTGGGAAGAAAAAACTGGAATGCTTGAATGACATCAAGAGTTAGTTGGGAAAGCAGTTATACGTTGGCAGACAGCATTAACACATGGGAAATTGTGCATGAGTACACCCTGAACAAACAGAACAGAGCTTGCAGATTATCTTGCTGACACAGCAGTTGCTATGGCTGGTCCGGTACTGGACAGAAGTGATGTTATCAATGCCAAGGGCAGCACTCACTGTAACGACGAGCACGCCAAAG